TGCTTTATGATTGCAATAAATGATGTTTACTTTTAAGCACTCCAAGGTTCTTAGTCATCAGTACGATTTTTTTCTAATTACTTAATTTTTTTTCCTTTTGTAATCAATGCCTTTCGTACAGTCAACCTTCATTTCGCATCCATTTGATTAAAAGGCATCGTATATAAATATTAACACTTAATCTAATCCTAACACTTTATTTCAGTTTTTTTTTTAAAGAGGATTAGCTGAAGATGTTTATTGTGTTGAGACAAAAATATGTATATACATACATATGTACATATATCTACACATTAAAACTGTTCAGCAAATCCTCGTTGGCTTTTCTCTATCATCTCTTTCTCTCACTGTGCTCTACTTTCTTTTTGTTTGCACACATGTCCCATTTGCTCGATTGTAAAGCACTTAACTACATCATTACTTTCTCTCTTCCTTTCCTTCCTTTTTTTTGTACAGGCCACACCACATATGCCCACCAAGCGTCGTTCGGTTGCGCGTAAAGTGCGTCCCCAGTCCGTCGTTGAGAATTTGAGCTTGGGACATATACCCGATCTGCTTGAATCGCCCTCTTCCCATCGCTCCTCGACACAACTTTCAGCGCGTGATTCGAATGGTACAGGCGCTAGCATCGCAGGCACCACCATTGGCAGTGGCAATGCCATGGATGATTTGGGTGTCGATGAATGCGGCGACTCAATAACAGAACTGCCCAGTGCATCATTTCAACTTCAGCACTTGGTTAAAGGGCGACCGAAACGCGCAAAGACGCGCGCACCCACACGACCACTCGTTGCTGTTGATAACAGCGCCGGGCCGAGCACCAAAGAAATTGGCGAGGGTTTGGATTTATTCTTCCGTCCCGGTTCAGTAACGCCAACCACACTGACGCCACTCATTTCACCCACCTCTGAAGAGTGCAGCTCATTATCGTTTGTCGATAGTCCGACAATGAGTCGCGATGGCAACGGTCATTTGACATCCGAGGAGACCACACCTATCTTGGAGGAACGTAGGCCGATCAAGTTGGATCGCCAGTCACCATTACTGAAGGGTAAATGGAAAAACATAAAATTTCGTTAGTTGTCCTCGACAAATACTCATATAAGTACATATGTATTTTTTAATAACTTCAGGCATACCCTGGACTACACGTTCACGTTCCACAGATAATTTGGAAAAGTATTCACCCTTGATTGGACGAAAATCGCCGTTAGTTAAAATGCGCACTGAAGGTGGCACCGCTGCGACGGGTGAGGACACGAATTCTGTGCTGAAAGCGCCGGAACGAGAGAATAAGATGCGTTCACCTAGCAGCGATTCGATTCGTAGTCACACAGGTGTCGACGGCATCAGCGTGAAGACAACAAATGGTATAATACGCACACCAATTATCCTACAGAAACCACGTCCCTGGTCAGTGGTGGGTAGTGAACCCAAAGCGCCTGGTGCTAATGACTTTCAAGGCAGTGATTCGAGCAAGACAACGCCAGAGAAACTTGACGAAGGTATATATCCATAAAATATGAAGTAAATATTTTATGTTTAAATAATTAAATTTCATTTTAATCACTCAATATTTTAGATGCCGAATCGTTATCGTTTAGTCAAAGCAGCAACAATGTTGGCAACGCGACAGGTAAGCTATGTTTTAATATCATTATGTTTTTTATCGGACAAGTATCGAATAATAATGTATATACAATATAAAAATCTCTTGATCAGGAGTGGCAGTCCTTTACCGTGTTTCAATCTGGGAGTATTCTTTTTATATAGACGTGACTGTTACCGATACGTAAGAATAAGTTGTTATTATTTTCTGCCATATCATAAAAATTTACCCAAAGAGGTTTTGGGTAATATTGCTTTAGTTAGCAACAGTCCTTGACCAGATATAAATTTGGGTCGTTCCGGATATACGGTTTTCACATGAAGCGATTTTACAGGCAACTTTTAGTTGAAACCAACAATCGCCTGGCGTGAACGGCCTTTCAACTAATCGCTTCCAATGGAGTTGGGGTGCGACCAGTAGTTGAATATCGCCTCTAAAATTGCATGGAAAATAGCTTCATGTGAACACCATTATACATAGACCCTATTGTCTTAAGAATGCGTAAGCATCAGTTGTCATTAGTAATGCCGCACGAAGTCGCTTTGTTGGTCTGTATATGATTAACTTAGTGTGAGGGGGAGGACCAGGTTGTATGCATAGGCCATGCAGAGTCCCAAAGGCTTGTAGCTCCGCGGCTTTTGCCTTGCGAAAAACTCCCGAAGAGTAGGGTGATGCATCAATCTAGGTGAGCATGATTTTGGGTGCCATCAACTTATTACTTTGGTAAGTTTTTTTATGTAACATTTGAGAAGTGTATATATTTATGCACATATTTTTATGAGGGTTTACCGAAAGTGCAGCATGGATTTAGGCATTTGTTGTTTGAGATTCAATGCACGGTTGTTGTTAGTGGTGTTGTTGTTGTTGTTGTAGCGGCTACAACAACTCCGCCGCGATCGGCTAGTCTCTCAGTCGTTGCCGTCAAGCTCATCTAACGGGAGATCCAAGAAGCGTGCAGCCTCTATAGGGTCTGTCCATAGGGACAGAGGCGTCAGTTGAGTGGGGGTTTTGTGCACATGCGAAGAGATGTTTCGAGTCGTGGGGTTTCTCTCCGCATGCCGGAGACTCATTTGGCACAGTGTGCTCAGATACGAGTTTACGGTATTAACCACCCCTTCACATACATGCCTACTCCAACCAACGCATATAACACCCCACTTTTTTTTAAGCACCTAATAGACTCACTTATTTCATCTAGGCTTAGTAATGTGATACAGCAACCACAAAACAAATGCAAACAATTTCATAGGCAAATTCGTTATTTCCACCGGAGTGCAATTTTTTTAAACGATTTGTGCTTACTCATTTTATATGTACATACTATGCATACATACATATGTATGTAGTATATTGTATTAGTATTTCTTATTACACGTATTTTCAAAAATTTTAAATAAAATAATCTGCAACTTTGCCTTAGGAGCCGCATTGGAGAAAAAGTCTGTACGGGAGCTTGCAGCTGGCCTGAATCGCTTAGGTAAGCAAACTATCTTTATTTTCTAAAATATTAGTTTCATTATACCGCATCCTTAAATGATGAAATTGCATCCTTTGAATGTTTAGAAAACCAATTTATTGAAAGGAAACTTTTAAAATGTTAGGTGGATAAGTGAAATGTTTTTAATTTATTTACATTTGCACGAGTTTTTTATTTGTGGTACTTCTCTCACCACAAATATGTATACCTAAATTCTTTTGATTTATCTTTCCCGTTCTTTATTTTTTTCTTTTCGTTTTTACTTATGCCACATATCTGTTCCTTATTCCTTTATTTCATTTTATTGGCATGCAAATCGAAACAATATAGAACTCCCAATGAAACCACAAGCGCTACCGAGAACATTACTCACCAGCGCCTCAGCGATATCCAAATCAGCTTCCACTTCGCACATCACTAGCACGAACAGCAGTAGCATAAATAGCAACAATGTTTTATATAGCACCAGCAGCAGTAGCAACAGCAGCGGTAGTCGTAGCCGCAGTAGCAGCACAACCACCACAACCACAACAATGTTGCAGACTCAACGCATGAAAATTACAACTAATAGCAGCAGCAGCTCTACAACTACGACAAGTGCCGCAAATGCAACTGCAACAAATGACAGCGACAATCATGAAACACTGCTCACCAAAACCATTATCACTGAGAATGGCAATGGCAGCAGCAGCAGTAGTTTCATTACAAATGAAATTATCAACATACGTAATGGCATCAATAGCAATTCCACCAACCGTGACAGCACCAATACGAATGCAAGTGATACCAGCGTCAGTGAGCGATTCAGCAGTGGCAGCAATGCTTCGAGTTTAGGCATTCCAGTTGGTGGCTTCAAGCGCATTGCGGGCAAAGAGATTTCTACTTTATTCGAGGTTTGAACCAAAGATTGGCTTTAATTTGTGACAAAAATGTGCTTTTGAAAATGTTATAAAACCAAAAATGAATTTAATGAAAAGCATTCGCTAACATCAAAACGCTTTCAATGTGTTATGGCCTATTAACGGCGGTCTAAAAAAACTAATACATGCGTATATCCTTTTCATTGCTGTTCAGTGTCTGTCTAACATGCGGTAATCATCCAATATTAGTACAATTATCAGCGCAGGAGCTACAGCATACATGTGACTGAATTTGAAAAGGTGCTAAGCTTATGCAAAAAAAAAAAACATCATAATATTTATTCATCAATACATGCGTATATGTTAATGCTTAGAGGAGAGTGAATAATTTTTAAGGGTATGTTTTAATACATTGCTGCTCTTTGTTCATCATCAAAATTGCTACAAAAGAAATTATTAATCTTAAAGTGACTGTAAACATTGTTTTCGCGCTTCAACATAAAATCGCTTTCGACGCTCATTATTGTGTTATTGTTTCGTACGTTATGCATAAGTTGACATTAACTAACATTTGTGTTATAACATTCTTAAGCTTTAAGTTTAATATTTTTTATTGTTGTTTCTTATATCTTTATTACATATGTATGTATGTGTATACATATGTGCATATATGCATGTATGTAAGGTCTTAAATGACATAAGTATTTTTTAAAAGTTATTTTTTTTTGTTATTCCGCGAGTTTTCTCTAAGATACACCTATTTGCCAAAAAAGTCAAACCCTTGCCTTAAAAGTAAGTGAAATAAAGAATTTTCTTCCGGTTTCATATTTCGAGTAAATTTCTCGAATGTGATTTGGCCAACTTTTCTGGTATCAACATAGTGCCTTCCTGAGTTTCGTGAGACTAACAGCCCTATCCCCACGCCAATGAAAAAACTCAACGGCTGACTATAGTCTTTACTACTGCGCCTAATACTATGCTCCAAATTTATTTTAAGCTCTCTAATGGTGACAATTTTCTTTCTTATTGTTATGACCTACTGAGTATGTGACAACGGCAAAACAATGTTTATATTTGTTTTAGGCCCAGTAGTTTTGACAATAAATTTGAATTTTATCAATGTTGTGGTTTAACACCACTTAATATTTCTGATCCGATATGGCTCATATTACTTACATACATGAAAAGGAATAACTTCACAAAAAGTTTTGGCAGATGGGCGGTACAGGTATGGCCCGATTCGCTTCATATTTAGATTGTTATGTTACTTAAATGGAAAGAAATAACCACAAAAAATTGTTCCGTTAGGTAATGCGGGGGTCCATTTTTTTATTAACCACTAATAAAAGGTTGTCTTTAATTTTTTTTTTTTTAATTACTTGTTTCACAAATATATTAGAAAATTTCTGTACCCAATAAAAATTATAAGAAAAGTATTTGGCGCTTATACTTTTTTTAAGTGTCTGGCCGAGCTTCTACTTCAATTTGTGGCATGCGTACTGATGCTACGACATAAATGAAAGGTCCTCCGAACGGTAAATGGTTTTTATGAGAAGCTATTTTCAAGGCTGAAATTCACTCGGAGGTTCGCCATTGTCTGCTTTCTACTTTTCTAATTCTAGTTGGTGCTCGGACTAGGGATTGAATCCAAGTCTTACGGAATACGCAGCTCTAACCAATCGGCTATAGCAAATTTCATAACGGTATATTGCAAATAATATAATAAACTACAGTTTACACCTTTTTGAAACCATTTTTATTACATTAAAGAGATTTGGAAGCTTACTAACATGCTGTAGTGAAAGGTCCGAAGAAAATAAATTAAAATTGAGAAATTATAGTAGTAACATTGCTTTACAAATTCACCAGGTAGTATTTTGAAAATGATGGCGATCGGTAAAGAAAACTACGCCAAAGGAGAAGGGATCATTTTACATTCTATAAAGTGGTTATATCAACAGTTTACACTTTATCATCACATCACATAAACATTTGTCTGTTCAGCACTTCCCTAACCAGTCTTTAAGTGTTTAGAGTTATCTGGATATATTTTGTTATTCAATTCAATAATTACTTCCCTAGGTGTGAATACCTTGGGATTTATGTTTTTTTAAAAACCTAAAAATGCATGTAGAAATTTATATCAAGAGCTATATGTGCATGTATATATATAGGAAATAAAATATAAATACTTTTTTTTTTATATATATAATTCATATACATACATATGTGCTGCTAAGTTTTTTTTTTTCATTTCCCAAATTGCTTTTCTAGGAGACATTAGTTGAAGGCCTACAACGCTCTTCGACGCGGCGAACATTTAGAGATACGCAATATACAAAAGAGGATGTTGTTGATTTGTGAGAAGTATGAAGAAAAAATATACGCGGAAAATAATGGCAGAACTTCAGCGAAGCATAGATATGTAACGACAGCATTAATATATGTTACCGATATACAATATATGCACAATTATGTATGTATGAACATCCATATGTAGTAAACAAATTGAACACAACTTAAACGGAAGCAAATATTTCTTGAAGAAATATTTAGAGTTTTTAATGTTCAGCCAACAGTCATTGCACATTGGCCAAAAGCCAATAATATACACGAATAATAAAATGGTGCGAAAAAATATTTTAGAGAATATGTACCACATACAATATCTTTCATACATATAATTAGCGCCCCCATTTCAGAGTGATATTGTTTGCCTTATGTTTATGTTTATTTATTTATTTTTAATAATTTTCAATTAATCTGCAGTGCATTCTTTAGCAGAGCGCATATAAACCCAAGTTTAAAACTTTGTAGAAAACTAAAACTTTTCAACAAATAATCCTCCAAATTTCAATTTTTTTCCGATGTGTTTTATATTTTTTTGAGTGGCAAACAATATCAATTTGAAATGGCGAAGTGCTAATGATATGACCGATACTGTATGAAGGTATATTTGAAAAAAAATAATAATTGCATGCAATCGATAGTTTCAAATTTATATGCGTCTACCATTTCTGTATTAGCTTATGATTTGTGCAATCACTCTGCGCCTTATTTTTTATACTAAAATCAAAATGTAAATTATTTTTTTTATACTTCCATGCAAAAAAAAGTGTGCTTATGTAAATTACTTCTAACTTTTTTTGGCATTATTTGCGTTTCGAGTGTATTTTAATGTAAAGTTTATTCATTACATATTTTTACGAAGAAAAACACGTGTAAAACCTTGTATTTATATAATTCTTATAGTTTTAATTTAACATTTAATTCTAATGCGATATGTAATGTGTTTCAATGATAATGCCGATGTTGATTCATATTTCACACTAAACACTAAAATTTACTTTAAATTAAATTTAAACATTTAAATGTGTGTGAGTGCGCGCGTTTTATATTAAACTAAACTTGTATGTATTTACTTACATACATACATATGTTGATATATAATTCTATTAAGAATATGTATGTATGTAATTATATGTATGGATTGATTTTAAGTGCCAATCATATTTTATGAACAACTAAATAACCAAGAATAAAGTGAATGAATAAAAATTTAATAATATTAAAGTGTTAGAAAGGTATAAACCGAACAAAAAGTTTTCTTGATCTAAGGATTTCCAAGGATACGTACATACAACCAGACAACTAATGCAGTTTTACGAAGGTTTTGACAAAAGTTGGAAAATTTATTAAAAAACATAAAATGAAATAATGTTTTTTTTTATAACTGCTTCCATTCGATAAGCATTTCCGCAATACTTTTCGCGTGAATCCCGTAAAGAGTAAAAAGTGAGTAACAACCAAAAAGTTCGGGTACAATCTTGCAACTTCATTCTCTACACAACTCTCCAAAAATCATGCTCTCATTTACAGGATTTTGGAGTACGGGATCATTTTTCGTGTAAAAACCTGTATGTTCATGGAGTACTGGATCATAGAGCTACAAAACTATCGATCGTATCGATAGTTTCCAATGTTAGATCACTATCGATAGTTGTAAATACTATCGAGTGATGAAATTCCCATTTATCTAAAGTGTCAAATTTGAAGAATTTGGGGCTGGCAATTGAATTGTGTAAGGAATATTAAAAATTTATCAAATATATGATTAGTTTTCTTTGGTAAAGAAAGAGAATTCCCTCATGTATTATTTCATGGAGCTTCACGGCCGGTTTGTTAAAATAAAAACAAACTTTATTTTTTCTCCCTAACTTATATGCGTAAAGTTGGTTCTCCATATACAAAAAATTTAAAAAAATGCAATTTACCTAGTAAATTTAATTGATACTATCGATAGTTATTTAGATCTAAACGATATTATCGATAGTTTTCCTTAAAATATCAAAACTATCGAATGGTATGACTATCGATAGTTTTGCAGCTCTACTAGATCAGAGCTATTAATTTGGTATCACAGTCCCCTTTGTTTGGTAGCGTTTTTTATTATTATATTAAATTTCGAACGCTATCCCAAAACTTGAACTGAAGTGGATGAGAGCTCTGAAAACCTTAATTCAAAGTGACAATCTTAAAATATATACATATGTATGTATGTACATATGTATACTAATTATTTTCATAAAACTATTTTTAAACTACCGATGTGTTCCGAAAGTTAATCGAATTAGAGCGATAAATTAAAGAAATTTACTATACATGAATATTTAGAAATGCAAAAACTCCAAACGCATTTTTGTTATTTTGTTAACTTTTTGTATTGAAACGAGAAGCATGGAGTACCTACAAATTGAGAGAAACGCAGGACTTGGAATATTAGTAGAAAATAACGAAGCATGAAAACAACGGTACATTGCACTGAGAAAAATGGTAGGTGCAATGTTATGAATGTAGTACATATGTATGTAGGAGGTACACATGAAAACTTAACTTAACGTTTTTCAAAAGGCATACCACTAACTTTAAAATTGTATTTCAAGTTAATAAAGGTTCTGAGATGCACATAGGATATGCAAATAGAAGAGTTATTTGTGAACAACAGTAAATTTCAAGTCCCCACCTTAACAATTTAATGATAATGATATAAAACTTAAAAATCTACTGCACTGAAAACTTAAAAAGTTGAGATGAAATTTTGAAATGGATAACAACTTAAAGAAAAAAAAGCAACTCGAAACATAAAATAAAGAATCCAAGCCGAAAAAGGACAAATTAAACAATGTTTATAAAATACGTAACTCAAATTGTAAAAAAAAACGTTGAAAAATAAATCAACATAAAGATTATAATATTTGCTGTTTTCTTATGTTCACCCACCCGCCTAACGTACACGAGAATGCGTTAGTTTTAGAAATTTATACAAAACTGTTGAGAATGTTTTAAACTTCCCATAATATGTAGCTAGAAATACATATGTATGTAGCTTGTGCCTGTGGTACTACTTTCTGGTTAGCCAGTTGACATTGGTGGCGGCAAAGAAAGACGCGTTAACCTCTTTGACGGCGAAGAAAAACGCATAAACTTATTTTTGCGGTCAATTATGTTTGCGAATGTAACAGTATACGAATTTTTTCCCGCTTCCTTTTTTGCCGTCAAAACACCCGAGCGTCTTCATTTGTGTGACGATATTATTATTATTATTAATAAGTCGGAGATACTCGCGTTGCGACTTAAGATGATATATTTTTACTAAATCCTAACTGTATTCCACTCCAACTATCATGACTCCAACCATAAGCTATTTAAAGAGCTCAGCTATTTGAACATCTCTGGCAAGTCTTTCGACTTCAACGGGAATTTTTGCACACGTTTGGAAAAGTCAAAAAATTAAAAAAGTGTCCCTCCAAAATTCATCGAAAAATGTATCACTTTTGATCCACTTGGATCAAAACGGTCAAACTGCTAGTTTCAATGCAATTAATACAAAAACAGGTATAACAGTGGTTTTTTTAGTTAGTGTATATAAGGACGAAGAAAAAAATGTTTGCACTAATTGGAGGTATGTCCTTTGAATTAATTTATGCAAAAAAAAAATTAACAAATTTTTGTTTCGAGTTGGTCGCACTTAAGATATAGGTGTGCGATATAAAGTATCGTGTGCCACCCGCCTAAACTGGTTACCAATCGGAATTACTTCCTTCATATTACCCTGTAATGTCATGCCAGAACTTGGCTGCACTTACTTTTTTGACAATCGGTTTGTCAAATTAGTGTTTTTTTTTTGCTATATCTGACGCCTGTCCTCATTGCAATTCGTGTATATTTTGCAGTTTATATGAGAAATCATAAAATTTTTTAGCAAAACTAGACATATAATAGTGAAAAAGAATCAATAACACTGCCTAATATACAATACACAATTCAACAAAATGGTGAAGCTAACGCCGGAACTCATCAATCAATCAATGCAGTTTATAAATCCCTGCAGGGAGCGGGAATTGGATTTGCGCGGCTATAAAATACCACAAATCGAAAATTTGGGTGCCACACTAGATCAATTCGACACAATAGACCTGTCCGATAACGATCTGCGGAAATTAGATGGTATTCCGTATTTGCCGCGGCTGAAATGCTTACTTCTCAATAACAATCGCATCCTGCGCATTGGTGACGGTTTGCAAGAGGCAGTACCGAATTTGAGTTCAATTATTTTGACTGGTAACAATTTGCAGGACTTGAGTGATTTGGAGCCACTTGTGTCACTACCTCGTCTTGAAACACTCTGTTTACTTGTAAATCCAGTTTCAACAAAACCCTATTACCGCGAATATATGGCTTTTAAGTTTCCCCAGCTGCGTTTGCTCGACTTCAGGAAGATAAAAAGAAAAGATCGCACTGAAGCTCAAGAATATTTCCGCACAAAACAAGGCAAAGAAATGTTGAAAGAAGTGGCAAAGAAATCGAAACTTAATGCATCCGCGGCTGCGGCGGAAGCGGGAGGTAAAGTGTCTGCTGGTAATACAACGCGTATGGCTAATCCAGAAGATCTGCAACGCATCCGAGATGCAATTAAGAGAGCAAATTCGCTACAAGAAGTTGAGCGGCTTTCACGTATACTGCAAAGTGGTCAACTACCTGAAAACTTTGAGCTCGAATTAAGTCAGAATGGCACGACACAAAATGGCAATGTGACTGGTGGTGGTGGAATGGAAGCTATGGACTATTAGTGAAAATGGTTTCTAGGATAGTTGGTATGAAATAAAATTTCGAGTGAAAATTTGTGAAGTTTTTTAATAAATACCTAAATAGTAAAAAAGATACACAACTTTTGAATTAACGCAATGTAAACCATGGTGGAATTAAACCATGATGTAAACTATGTTGTTTATTTTTTCATAGAAAAAGTTTAAACACATATGGATAGTATTCCTTGTTGGTGGCATACAATAACAAAATACTCGAAAATGCCAGAACATGTCTGTTGATTGGAACAAATCTTAATGTAGCATTAAGGCTACGCTTAGTAATTAGACTAATTCATTAACTAATAGTTGTCAAAACCATTACAACAGCGTGCGAAAGCTATTCAATTTAATTTAAGGAACTATTTTTATATTTGGGAGGGAAACCGGTCTCTGTTGTCACATTGCGGATTTGTTGCATTATTGGCGATTATCAATAGGGAAGATTTAAAATTAGTGCATACTATCGTAAGTGGATTGTTAGATATCTTTAACTCTACTGTTTTAACAAATCAGTAATCCTTGTTTTGTTTGATGGCATTATGACAATTCCTTTTCTGCCATTATCGCGTCGTAATGCAGCCCAGTGTAGAAAATTATCCACGTCACAAGAAAACCAGCGAATGATGTCATAAAACCTTCCTTAACCAGTTCCCAAGCACCACCGTAGGCTTCTTCGTCAATGCCCTGGAAATTTATGGCGTAGATGTAAACAATGCCGCAGCTGATACCAGCGAAACTATTCAATTAAAACAAAGCACAAAAGTGAGAAATTTTTTTAGATAAATACATAATACATTTATAATTTACTTACAGCACTAAGCCTAAAAATCCTTTCAATGGCACAATACCCCATACAATACCCAAAAGGATGCCGAAGATTTGTCTAGCCCAGTAGATAACGTCCAAAAATTCGTCCTGAAATGAACAAAATAAAATTTAAATAGGAAAATGTTGACATAAACGTTTTTATCAGGTCGGCACGTTTTTCCTTGACTACCACAGTTTATCAGGTGCTTGAGCTTTGCACCACATAGTACTCCCCACCAACATCCCCGAAACAACTCACCTTATCCGGCCACTCAGAATTCGCTTTCAATGCCCGGGAACAAATCTCTGAAAGATTTAGCGACTTCGCGTTACCACTACTGTTGCGTTCGATTGTGCTTGTTTTTGTAGACATTTTACTTATATATATCAGTTTAATAGGAAAGTAAATTTAAATTAATTTAATTAAAACTAATTTCGTGCAACGATTAGAGAAAAAACCCCGGAGACGTGTAATTTGACGTCGATTTGACAGTAGTGCATTTTTGGTCCCTAACCGATTCCGGATGGTATGGGAAATTTTTTTGTGGCAAGCTTGGCAGCACCGTCATCAAGTCAAGACAAAGCACTTAGAACCCGTTTTTAACCGACATTACAAAAAGGAGAAGGTTATCAATTCCTCGGAATTTGTTTTTTATATATGTTACCGCATAACTTTGGACCACGCTAACCGGTTTCTATAATTCTTTTTTTAAAGGAATTGTGTTACCTCACAGGTGCTCCCATTAACGATAATCTTAAATTTTTATATGAGAATTGAATTCCGTTTTTTCTTGCTTAAAAATTACTTGTTTAAAGTAGCCGTTATATTTAAAATCGACTTGGGCATGCTTAGATCCATGGATTGAACGTTTTAAGGATAAAATGTTAAATATTTAAGAAAATATGCAAACTGTAACAAGCAAAGTCAAACGGAACAGAATGGGACATAGAACTGGACATAGGCCTTACCTTTCTACAAGCTTTTAATCAAATTTTCAAATCTTGCAACCATTTTTTAACCAACTTCCCGATGAGCTAGATGCTTGAAACTTTAAGCTTAGCTCAGAAACCGACAATACGTCAAGAATGAATTTATTCGCTATATGGCGCGGGTCTCGAGATATTTAAAAAACCCATGGACCGATATGGTTTATATTTATAATGTATATTTCCTACATGATAGTAACTAAAAACATGATTATGGATAAGGTTTAACATATCGACAATTTATACTAATGAAAATGTATTAATTTCTATTAAAACTCAGTCTTGTAAAAGTCATAAATTGTTTGGCTGAGTTTATCTCCTAACGGCCGTTCCAATGGTCCGCATTTAATCTTGCTTAGCAAAGAACGAGCTTCTTTTTCACTTGTACATTTCTCATATGCGTCAAACAGCAGACGTGGAGTGGGATACTCTTCAACGATGGCCAATGCTTTTTCCAGTGACAACGAGTGTAACTGTAGTAATTGCTGTACAAATATTTCTCGCACAGTCAATTGTGCACCGCGTGCTGAATCCTCATACAAGGCACGAAATTTCAGCAGACCTAACATGCCAGCTGATGAGTCGTATGGTTGCAAATCTTCTTTGGCTGTACTAAGTAAAACTTTATCTTTAAAAGAGCGTATCAATGTTTTCGTTATACCCTGCAAATATTTCATTGAACGAAAATTATTTTGAGTATGTGCTATCATGAAGCCCGAATGTATCTGAGTGTTCATGATAGCCTGTTGTAAATTTTCCATAGGTAGGCCTAAGTGTTCATTATCGCCATAATCTTCAACTAAGTAGATAACGTTTTGTATTCCACATTGTCGCAAACGGTGTTTCTGCTCATGGAAGCGACCATCGCGTATACTTGAAGCCAGATCATCAAACCGCTTACGCTCTACTATAAAGGGCAGCACCAATTCGCTGCCCTCCTTGTCACGGGCGACCCAAAGGAAATCACCAATGGTCAAACGACGCACCTCATACGACACTTCAAAACTCTCCAAATAGCTACGTGTTTGATCCAAAGTGCGTTTGTTTTTGCCGCTGGTTTCCTGTGTGTCAACCAGAAGTATAATGCGAAAGCTACCTGGACTCATGATCACTTGACGCTGACGTTCTTCTTCTTCAGCAATTGCTTTCTGTTCCTTTTTGGTAATTTTGCTTTGAGATTTTTTGGGAGATTTACGGCATTTACTTTTCTTAACAGATTCTAAAAGTTGTTTTACGTCCGATTCGAATGTTTGCATTGTTGGTTGTAATGGTGGATTTTCCTGCTTCTCGCGGTACAAACGAAGCTCTTCATCTATAAGGTTGCAGAGTGTGGAACCGAAGCCACGAAGAATAGCACATTCCCGTCCTGAAGCCAGTGGAAGGGGATAGCTGCGAAGTGCTTGAAGTGCATCGCGAAGTTTGTACTGTGATTTGGCATTTCGCCGCTCCGCATCTTCCAACCATTTCTCCAGCCACTTTTCAAAGAGAGGATTAGGCTGTTTTAGGGTAATTTCCAAGCGCTCTTCCATACGACCAAATAAACTAAAAAGTCGAAGTACTTTCAAAAGTGTTGACCAGTGTTGCCACTACATGTTTTTATTTTATACCAAAATCACCAGAAAAAGATACAAAATTCAACAAAAATTACCAAGCCTATTTTCTTGAGTTACTACAAACGAAAAAAAGGCGCGATAGTGTTTTGACGGCGAAAAAGGTGCGTAAAAAATTTTGCGAAATGAGATGCTTATGAAAAACTTCGGCGAAGTATGTTAAGAGTTTTTGACGCTAAAGTTTTTTTATGCGTCTTTTTTTCGCCGTCAACTTTTGAGCTGGCGCCTTTATTCGTGTCTAGTGACGATATATCCTAAGCCCCCATACTTTTCAAGCAACCAGCGCTTCATTCAGCTATAATTTTTTATATCTGCGTGAACGCTAAAAAGTCACAACAGAAACGCTTGGTGAGGATTTCATACCTAAGTGTGGCCGAAAAACTATTTTTTCGATTGCGCGTTGTTTTAAGATTAGATACTGTAACGGTACATTTTGCATTTGTCCACCCATACAAAGCTCAGGGCCACAAAGAAACTGAAGGCATGTGATCATTCATAGTGTCATGGACAAATTGAAAAAATGAAAAAGTAATTTACTAAATTACCAATTTTGATAAAGAACAAAATACCTATTTGGTAAATATTATAAAAGCGGCAACGCTGGTATTTACATCACAGCAGTGCTGCCTAGTCATCAAACGATGGCAGTGGAAATCAGCTGATTTTGACGGCGGGAATAGGTTATGGCATGACAACTTTGATGTTTACTTTTTTTTAGTGGTTAAATAAGCGAAAATGTTAAAAATTACAAATCACTTTGTAAATATTGCTCAAAATGGTGCACGTAAGTATTAGTTATAAATAAACTCATATGTAAATAACAATAACGATTTTATACGTTTTATCCCAGCTATCCGTCAATTGTCGTGCACGGTGGTGCGTGCATTGGACCAGAAGTGGCGTGAACAGAAAGGTTTCCCTGGAAATCCCAATGCGTTTGGGCCGGTGACAAACATGCCCGACTACACCTTCTTAGATGGAAGGCCCACACCCCTCGGTGTTCGTAACATAACATTCGTAATTAGTCTTTTTTATAATAACGTACATGTTTTGTGTCCTTTCAGTCCAATCAAAAGCGTCGCATCAAGAAGCAACAAGAGATTGCAGCTAAAATCGTAACACTAAATAGTGAATTAGATTTTGCAAAGAGACGTTATGCGCGTATACAAGCAGAAAGAAAGGCAGAAAAAGAAAATGTAATTAAGAGTAAGCTAAAGCCAAAGGGTCATTTAATGCTCAAAAAGGATTAATTTTCACAATTGTAATGTATAAATATGTTGGCCAACTAGAAAAATAGTTTGAGTAATAAAAATATAGAATACCAGTAATCATTTTACTTATTCTGATCACTCGGCAACTGAGGCAACAAGAGATAGTGGGCAGAAATAAAACCAGCTTATGATATTTTAGATATTATACCAGAAATGCTCTTTCTAGTTTTCTTTCAATGAATTGTTTTGTACAGTAGTCTAGATTACTCATTAGAAACTCAATAGAAATTAAAATAAACTACTATAGACTTTTACCTGTCCGATCTTTTATGAAATGCTTTACTTTGTATTAAGTTTTTAAATATACAGGAAGAAACATGAATGTTAGAAAGGGCCAATGCATCAGAATATGTCCGTTCCCACGACAGTCAGGTCTACGTAACCGGAACGACCCAAGGACTGTCACTCCAGCAACACTCCCCAAAAAGTCTTTGGGGAATTTGTATGTTGCTACAACAACAACAACAGACAGAATATGTCCGTTCCCACGACACACAGTGGGGCAAAAAAGGTTGCTGTGGACAAATGAATTTTGAAAGCCCAAATATGAACCGATTTCAAGTTTCTTTTTTTTTAATAAAAGGTAATTAAATTTCGCGTCGATCTATCCATGGCGATTTTTTAAAAATGCTCTGGTTTTTTACTTATTTATGTTGAAAAATTAAAAATTAAAAATATTTTCGCGTTTGAATGTTTCCACCTTTTTGGAAAATACTTGAAATTAATTTCAAATGTCTGCAATTCTTTAAAAAAATATTCCTAAACATTTTTCCATAGGATACATTTAAATAAAAAAATGTATTTCATTCGTTATCTATTCTAATATATATTTTGAAAGCCGTTTTTTTTCGCTTTTTCTAATCGGAAAAACTTGAGAACAGCTGTACCGATATTATTGAAATTTTGGACATCGACTCTAGACCCTCAAAGGTTGATAATAGAAGAAAAATATTTTCGATATATCAAGGGGGCGTGGCACCTCCCATACAAACTGAAGTTTTCACATAACATATCTCTGAAAGTATTCATCGTAGAGTGCTGCAACTTAGTACACAGATATATAATAGGAGTGTTCGCTATGCAAAAAATTTGTACAAGTTGGTACCAATTGTTACCAAATCGTGTTCGTTTAGCCAAAAACCCAGTAAAACTTGCAAGGAGAGAGCACAATTTTGACATTTCATTTGGAGGGGAAGTTGCAAATTCGTGCTCGGAAAATTTTTGCCAGTAAGAATTTGCAAGTAGGATTGTGGCACACGGTTGCATTTTTGTCAACATTAATTTGAATCAACGAGTTCGTTAAATTTAAAAATGAACAATCTTGTTGCGATTTACTAATGAAAGGAGTCTGTAAATATTTGTTTATTCAATTAATTTAATTAATTCCAATCATTTGATAGGTACTCGGCTGAAAAAGCTTCTCGTAATCGGAACGCACTCGACACCACTGTCGATATAGGAAATCCGACAGTGACTTCCACAATGAAATTGAAGCGTATGTTGAAGAAAGTCCGAATAAGAAGAAATATACGTATAGGTCCTGTTTTGGTTTCCACCTGAAATAATTTAAAAAATTTATTATGCTCGAAATGCAACCATGGACGCCAGCTGGCAGTGAAGCTTGCTAATGTTTGCTAATTCCTGTTCGCGCAAAAATTTAGTAAGTTTCTCTTTTTGGGAGATTAAGGTACCTTGTTCTCTGAATTTTGTTACTGGCTAATTCTTACTGGCAGTTGCATACCGAACACTCCTAATATCAACGCCAAACTCATAGAAAATTATGGGAGTTATTGAAAAAAGGGGCGTGGCACCTCCCATACAAACTGAATTAAAAACGAATATAACGTAAGCGACATTTGTTTCAAAATTTTGTTTTTGATGCAGAAATATTACTACATAGAGCATCTAGATATGTACATTTCTGCCTCAAAAAGGAAATTTTGAAAAAAATGTCGCTACGTTATTTTGGCGGTTAGGGCTCGATACCAGTATAGATGGCAAATTAAAAATAGTTTTTGATTAGATTTTTCCTATGGAAAAATGTTTATGAAGAGTTTTTTAAATAATTGCAGGCATTTGCAATTAATTTCAAGTATTTTCCAAAAAAGTGGAAACATTCAAACGTGAAAATATTTTTCTTTAATTTTTCAACATAAATAAGTAAAAAACCAGAGCAGATCCCTTTCATACGAAATTCTTGACAATTCTTAAAAGATCCTAAATTTTTTATGGAGGTATTTTTTGTTTTTAATAAGATATGCATTTTTTAGTTTTGGAAAAAAGGAAATATTTTTCTCTCGCAATCTTCATATCGAGGGCTTATATTCAAAACCATCTATCTTACCGCTACAAAAACAAACACACTGCATCCAACTTTTTAACGCCCCTCAGTTCTCGTGTGTTAGTGGTCTCGCTACTGGAACTTGGAAAACTATACAACAAAGGGGATTTATATCATCGACAGCTCGCGCTTCCTCAGTAGTAAAAACACTCGAGATATCTTAAGCCCGGCTAAGCTTCAGTAAAGTTCACACTTTCAAAAGAGTATTTAACGCCATAAACACTCAGATTACTTGCTGTATTTATCGCAATAACATATATGAAGGCTTTTCAATACAATATGCTATAATTATAATAGTTGCGATCCCGTACGAGTCCGGACTAGTCAGAAATAGTCAGA